CGGTTAGAATTTGAACTCGACTCTCTGCTTCTACTTTCGTACTGATAGCCATTAAGCTACCTTCACATTATTCTACTCAAGGTCTCGTATGAGATACGGCGAATATTTTGGGGACTTTTTACGAAAATTGTTTTATATCCCATCAAAGACGATAATTCATTTCAGGAAATAAAACAAACAACACGATGTGAAAATGAGGATTAGATAGATACTCATATACGTCTAAATATATGTTTCCGTGACTGAATTGATTATAGCTTTGTCCATGAAATACGAATATGATTCGAGTTTATGTCACATCAACAGATACTTCTTTCTTCTCATAACTCGCTACTTATTTTAAAAATTGGAGAGTATCGAACGAGAAATTTGTGATAAAAAGTGACAATCAAATAAAAAAAAAGAAATTTTCAAACATTAATATCGACATATATTGTGTTTTGTGGTACTTCAAACACATTGGTATATATGACGCACGCTAATTTTAGTATGTATGAAAATATTGGAACCTTTCTTTTCAGGCATACTCCAGATCCCATTGCGGTAAATTTTTAGACCCCAAACATGATGCAAAATCCGAAGTTCATCGCGTAGTTAAATTGACGGACGACACATTTTGGATGAACAAGAAGAAAAATCTTGTCAAAATGAAAAACAGCTCCTTTCCTTCTCGAAGTGTTGTTCCTCCAATACAAAGAGCCACTCAAGAGTATAACAATGAGGTTGTTGTAAGTACGTAATGAGGGAAAGTAAGAAGTGCATATTATGGGAACATGAGAGATAGAAACGTAGACGTGAATAGTTTATGCTTGTAGTGGTATGACAAGAATCCTCTCGGATGTTGTTCCACAAAGTAACAGTCCTGAGGAAGAAGCTGTCCGAGTGAAACCTCCTCCTTACCAATATAATACGAATAGAATGAGAATAATTCAACAATGTGTATGTGACATAGAGAGTCCTAGCTGTGAAGGTCTGAACTGGTTGAACGAAAGATTGTAGCTTGTCTCATCTTAATTATTTTTAACACTCTTTTTTGGAAAAAGTTTTGATATGGGGTAATGGATAGCGATCTAGTTTGGTTAATTATTAGAATTGAGTTCATTGTTTCATTGGATGATTCAGTTGTGTGGCCTTGTGTCAAACTAACTTAAGCTTAATTAAAACAACACTGTATACCACTTTGTACCAGAGTTTGGAGTTTATAAAACAAATGCGTCAAATCTTTCGTTCACTAATGATGAGCTGACGATTTCGGAGTGACGTAAAATGAAGGTTTTTTTTTAAGAAAGGCTTGGTAGGTACGAGAACTTTTCAGCGTATAATCTTATAATATGACAAAGGACACACTAAAAGCGTAGATAGAAAATAAGTGGAAATTATTTTACAATAGATTACATTGCAAACTATTTAACATTAGTTGTTTATGTAACCTGAGACATCATGAGTAGGATTTTGCAAACATTTCACCCCAAACAAAGCAATAAAGCAATTAAGATGCAAGGGGTTTCTAAATGTAAAAGCATAGGAGAAAAAAGAAAACATTATTAAGGAGAAAGAACAATAAATAAATAGGAATTGAAACGACAACAGATAACGATTCACAATTTTTCAATTTTTTGATGCTCAAAATGACTGGAAAGTAAGAGACGGGAAGAGATTTCCACAAACAAGAAGTGCGAAAGAATAAAATGTTAGCATAAAAATTGCGGTTACATCGAGCAATTTCATCTATAAAATGATGTCAATCTAGTACTGTACATAAATTTATAAAATCAAGGTAGCAAAGAGGAAAGCTCATCAGAACACTAACCTTGAAAATATTTAGAAAAAAGCAAAGGGAATCTACATTACGGCTGTGGGAAAATGACTGAAACCGAGATGTTAGATAAGGACCAATAACATTGCAGATTCTTTCTAAATTATATTCATATTTCTAGTGTTAGAAAAAATTGATGATTAATAACTGAATTTTGTACACGTTGAGCTAAAATTTGCTTTATCAAATTTTGGTATTTGATCATTATGTCGTGTTATAAAAAGCCTTGAAGAAATTGTCACTCGTCAAACATTATACTCAACCCATTCCAGTTTTACAACAGAAATCTACTGTAAATAACGAAGTAATGGATTGTCAGTAGTCAGTAATTAATGCCAGTGTTACTGAAAGAACAAACTATTATTATTATTATTATTGGTCGTGAATTCGACGTTCGTTCTTTCTCTCGCTTTATTTCTATTATTTCCTTTCTTTGCTTTTCCCTCTCTCTCTCTCTCTCTCTCTCTCTCTCATGGTGGTCATTCTTTTTCCCTTTCCTTAGTCACTACCCTACTTTTCTCCCACTCTCTTCCACATCTTTTAATGTTAGTTTCTCTTTATCGTCTTCTCTTTTTCTACGCACCTTTCCCTTCGCTTCCAGCCGGTAACACAGCCACAAGAATCAAACATTACAAACCACAGGAACTGCATTTAGCACCCATCTCTCCACACATCAACCACGTTCAGCACACTTCCAAACAACAATATTATATATATATATATATATATATATATATATATATATATATATATATATATATATATATATATATGAGGCCGACTAAAAAATAAACCCCAGTCCATTCATGAACTGATACCGTGTTACATTTCTCAGTGACGTCATCCTCTCGTCACCTCAATTCGTTCTAATATTTTCTCGAGCTGTTTTCCTCTTTTGGCATTCTTTGTTTTCGGCTCATTCATTTCTTCACGTTGTCATTTATTTTGGTTGACGTTTTGTCTTATTTATTTTTTTTAATTATACTTACATGTTGTATTTGTTTCGTTTCCTTAAAACGTAAAAGAACCGAGGAGAAAACCACATCGTTCCATTGTGTATGCCTCATTCATTCATTCTATCTTGCATTCATTCATTCATTCATTCTATCATTCAATCATTCATTCATTCTATCATTCTATCATTCTATCATTCATTTGACGATTTATAAATTCAGTTCTTAAAACACTACGTAGGATTAAGTAAAAACACTTGATAATAGAACCAAATAGTTTAATCTTTTAGCATCTCTTAAAAATGAAGATTGTCTTTTAAAATATTTTTCTGGAAGTCGATAGAAATCAAATCTTTTAATAATAATCATAATGATGATGACGACGCTGGCCCAACCAACAAATACCAAAGAAAGAATAAATAGAGTAAAATCGACTAAAGACGATTATAAGAAAGTTCTATGAACATCCGACTGTACAGAACAGGAAATATTTTATAAAAATGTTTAGAAAACAGGTTTAGGAAAAAGAATTTTTTCAATAACTTCATAAGAAAAACCTTCATTTAACTTAGGTCTCAGGTGAAATATTTGGGTAAGGATTATATTAAACAGCAAACCAAAACAAATGAACACAACAATAAACATAATAATAACAACAACAACAACAACAACAATAATAATAATAATAATAATAATAATAATAATAATAATAATAATAATAATGAGAACAAAATATCAGCTACTTTTTCTACAGAGGAATCTCTCGTGTTCAACTCTGTTCTCTGTTGTCAGGCAGGAAGTGACAATGAATAACCACAAATTCGAGAATTTAAAAGTATGGCCAGATATCCATTCTGTGGGTTACACTTGTTTTGGGGATGTGGTATGAAGGATAGCGCGTAAATAAAAGAAAAAAGGAAAAAAAAGGAAGCGGGAAAGTATTATTTTTCAGATACATACATTCATTCCGGTCCTTATGCTTAAGAAAGAGTAAAAAGCACATACACCTTTTATATATATATATATATATATATATATATATATATATATATACATACATACATACATACATATATATATATATATATATATATATATATATATATATATATATATGCACCTTTTATAGTTATTGTTGTCTGCTGTAGCTCAGATGCGACAGAAGACTGAAAGTATGGGGTACCCAGTGAGGATCGAACACCGATTCGAGGTGCCCAGACATGCACCTTTATAAATATATATATACATGTGTGTGTAAATATTTGTTTTTCACTAAAAAAGGAAAAAGAGATGTCAACTAGAAAACGGCTTTAAAGCAATCAAAGTATTCGATCTCAAGAGATAGAATATTAATAGCAATTAATACAGAAATTAATAAAGAAGTAAATTGAAATTTTACTGAGGAGTGGACACTATCAATGTGTAACTCTGAGTAGGGACAGATAAGTTGACTGTTTAATTTTATTTCTTACTCCCTCTTTCTGTCACTGTTTCTTTCTCCCTCTCTCTCTCTCTCTCTCTATCTATCTATATATATATATATATATATATATATATATATATATGCATGCGCGCGTGTGTGTGTGCGTTTTTATCGGTTGCTAGAAAAAATAATCAACATACCGAGCCTATTATGAATTTTAGTTAAACTAAGCGAAATATACGGCTAAGGTGCAGCATAAAACAAGAGAGATTTCTGCATTTTATTAAAAAGATGGTAGGAATGGTCAAACGTATCAAAGGTAATAATCTGCTTCCCTCATTTATTGTCATAGACATCACGTTTAGTTTAATGGGCAGGTACTGCATGTCAACTAGATCCTCGGAAACAATGCATTAATTGCTATAGTTTTCCATTTCCGAATGATCGTAAATATACAATCTGGTTATTTTTGCTCTGCATAGCAAATTTAAATCAGTCTTTCTTTATTCCTATGCCTAGAGTCCTAATATTTTTAATAACATTTCAAGTTTTGCAGGAAGTGTTCTTAAGTTACCAGTCATAGTTGATAGCATCTTTTAACATATATAAAAATATCTGGTGCCATTTTAAAAAATCTAGATTTTGTCTAACTTTTAACAGTTTCATTGCAGAAACGTGCCGTTATTTTCAAAGTATGAAATGATCGCCAGGATATACAAACATAACAGTAACTGCCAATAATTAAAAGAAAAATATGAAAATCTGACAAATATTATAGGACGTTAGCAATAAAATTTTTGGTACTTACCGTAAAAATATAAACTTTGAAAATTTCTTTTCCAGTCATTTTTTCTTCTGTTTAGTTTTCCTGTCAGCAAATTTCTTGATTTTTCTTGATGTTTTGTAACTGAAATATTTTTTGTCGGCAGACACTGGGATTAGTTTTTAAGGTGTTAAGTATAACCAAAATTTCACGCAAATTTTTTATGGGTCACACTTTCAACGCTAATATTCAAAAACACAATGAGTGACGTCTGCAAACGTATTGTTTAAAAAAAAGAGAAATGATCAATTTAAAAAGAGATTATGTTCATCTTCAATAAATTCTTTATTTTTCAAGTTGATGATCTTGTCTTCAAGTGGCAAAAATCGGTTGTTTTAGAATTTATCTATTTTTTCTATTCACAAACCTGCAGCAAGTAACAAAATCCTTCGCGAAATGCAATTTTTAAAATTTATTTTTGTTAATTCTTTCACTTTCTCTCTCCTCAGTGCAGACACTGTTCGTAAAATGACGAAGATAATGCTGATCAAACGACTTTTCGTATTTTTATGGATATTTTATCGTTTCGCGCTGTTTACAATCAAGTCGTAATAAAAGCATTAAAGCCTTAGATCACTCAAAGTTAAACCACGAGGAATCTGTCCGTTACCTCAGATGGGTAACTGTTTAGTGAACAGTACGTACTGTAAATAACCTGAAACCGGTGTGCCAGATGAAACAATGCTCTGTAAAACTTTATGCGTGCGGCTCGAATAACGAACGCGGGAATAGTAGTTATCACCAGCCAATTTAACAGCAGCTAAAGTTTCACAGATGTTGTAAAATTTCCGAAGAAAAGAAGTAATGAGTTCTTTATGTGTGCGTGTTTTTATGAAGGTAATAAATGTTTTTTTCTGTTTTATTTTTCTCTTTGTTTACTTCAACCTTCAGTGCTGTAATCAAACTCAGAGCCAGAGGCTAATTATGTTCTGATGAAAAATAAAACAATTTAACACTCGAGGTATTCATTCAATGTTTTGACTCTGAAGTGTAACCTTTGAACTGTAGCCCAATTGATTATAGAACAGGATTTGAAATGCGTAGCGTCGACTGACGGTTAACAAGCTGATCTCGTCGTGAGTTTGATAATCCCTGAGTGACCCCTACACGTTGTCTCCTGTTAAAATTAATGCTAATCTTTCTAAACAAGGATGATTCGACGTGAAACAATGGTTAATTAACCAGTCTCGTAAACGATTATAGAAGTAATTTCTATTCACACTAGGTGTTACCCTACTTTTTTATGTAAATAAAGACGCTTTGCCGTCGAATAATGATAAGCAAGATGGTCTTGTAGATTCTTAGTATTATAATGAGTCTAATCCTGGAAGCTTTTGTAAAATAATCGCCAAAACGACTGTTAGGAGGAATTTAGTTTTGATTCTAAATGGAAAAATATTGTTCTTCTTGCAGGTACATGAATTAGCGTGGGTGCCTGCTAATGCAACTCATCAATGTATTTTCCTTTCGTTTCTGTCTGCTTTCTTCCTTTTTCTCTTTCGTCCTTCCTTTCCTGATTCGCTTACTGACGGGAAATCATTTAACAAATTGTTGAAAAGTTTGGAATTTTAACGCGGTTTATAAATTAGCATCATTTCTGTTTTCTTCCCTTGTTTTGTTTTTCTTTTTATCCTTCAATTCGTTTCTTCCTTCTTTTCTTTTTTCCTTCGTTCTTAACTTTAATTCCTTTTTTTCTTTTCCAACTTATTTTTCTTCCTTTCAATTCTTCATTATCTTCCTCTTTTCTGTCTCTGTTCTTCCTTTTCTTTCCATAAGTTTGACGCAATTTTCATTGTTGGTTTCTGTCACTTTTTCTCCTTTCTTTCTTTCTTTTGTTGCTTGTGCTGTCTTTAATACTTCATTGACGTCGGCTCTTATGTTCCTAACAGAACTCTGTACCAAAGAACTATTTTCGTGTGTGTCCAGCGATTATTTGCACCAACGTCCTGTCTTGACGTTCCTCTTTACACATTTGTGGGGCGGGGGAAGAACCAGCCTATTTAAGCAGTTCGTCGTGGGTCTAGAAACGCCCACTTCCTTGTCTGTTTCCTGTCAGATACGTTTTATTTACATTCTTCTTCTTTTTCTTCTGCGACGCATTCATTCTTTCCATTCCCAAGAATTTGGTTTTCTTTTTTTTAATCAAGAACTTCCTGCTTAATAGCCGAGGAAGTTGTGTATTTCCTACAAGCATCAGAACAGGTAAAAAGCAGATTTCGAAAGCAGATTTCCAAGATAGAGAGGCACTCCAAATTTGGAGTATCTCAATATACCTGTCCCTATTTTGCATTTGGACCTGTATTGTATGAAAATAATCTTAATAAATAACTTTTGTGAAACAATCTCGGACAAACAGCCAGGAATTGAAACGCTGATTTCCCAAGAAGACAATCGAGTCCTAATAATTTGGAAGATTGGCACAGAACAATCTTATGTTTTGTGGTAGATATAGTTGTATATTTCCTACTGGTGTCAGAGGCCGACGTTTGAGCAAAAATGCTGATGTTTTTAATGCTGATTTTAGAGGCCTTTCCCGCCTGTAAAATTGGCGCAACGAATCTTTCTACGTTGATTTGGAGCTGTAAGGTGCTCAAATGAGAAAAATATCAAGAACTTTGCTTTTTGGTTTCTAACTTTTACTCACAAGATATTTATTCTTATTTTTCAATTTATTTTTGCAACTCACAAACTTCAGTACATTGTCATAAGTTCGATTATAAAGAATTAACTTTGAAGGCTGGAAAGTATTTCGCTTGAAACATTCTAATATGAACATAAATATGAAGATACAAATCTGATTACTTAAAGGAATATAAAGAAAATGCTTTATCTTAAACCTTAGAAGTAGAACTGGACTATTGGAAATTGTTTCAACTGAAACTGGATAATCAAAACAGCAATAAATAAATACTAACTTAGCGAGAGAAAAACAAATGGAATTTTATAGTGACAGAATGATAAAAAATATGATGTGGGCGATCATGATTCTCCACAGTTTTCTGTCTTGTGTTCCTCCAAGTAATTACTGACCCATTACTACCTATTGTCTTTGTTTTGCCGACCATTTATACAGATTCAATTTTACTTGCTGTTTCCACTACTTCTCTTACTTCACTATGTCCTGTAAGTGTTAACGTCCCCAAACCATCTTTCCTCATAACGTATCCCAGAAATTTTCTTTCTGATTGTAAATATATTTCCTTGTTGTTGCTTTTATCTCGAATTCGGTCAATTTCCCACCGCCGTGACGTATTATTTTCTATAATTATGTCCATGGCAATAATGCTCTCCCCTTCTTTGTACCTTGACTGAATGATTTAAAGAATATTAATAGATCAGCAAATTGCTATAATTATTGTACCAGGGAAGTAACTACATCTAACAGTAAGTTCTAGTGTAATAGTTTCTTTTCTCGCACTTTCCACCTGTGGAACTCTCTTCCAGGTTTTTGCTTCCCCGTCTCTTATGCTTTTCAAATTTTCAAATGCAACGTCAGTCATCATTTTCTGTCTACTTGAATCCATTTCTTTTATTGCCCTTTCTCCTCACTTAAGTCTTCTCATTCGTTTGCACACCCAATCGCTCTTTGCGTCTTAGTGGTATTATCGCCTCACTTGGGGTGAAATGATTAAAAAAGACTTCCTCATTACGCATTTGTATTTATAATATTCTTAGGACCCATTGGTGGAACTATATGACTGCCGATTCATGTCACCTCTTTATCTGTGTATTTCCTACAAACATATGATTAGTTAAAAACCTGGATTGCGGAAGCAAATTTCCAAGACAGACAGGCTTTCTTCAATTGGAGGAACACAATCTTTCTATCTCCTTCTTTTCCTTTGGTACTGTATCGTACTAAAATAAACTTAATAAATATCTACGTGTTCGATTCCAGTTAAAACCAGGAATTAGAACTACAGCTGCGATATAGTAGAAAAGATATCAGTCTATATTTCTGAGATGAGGTATTATGTACACTATTTACATTATTCGGAATATTGTCCACATCTTTGTCGCCATATTTATCACAACGTTTCGGTCTTTCAGTATCTGTCTATATTTCTGAGATGAGGTATTAGGTACACTATTTACATTATTCGGAATATTGTCCACATCTTTTTCGCCATATTTATTACAACGTTTCGGCCCTTCAGTATCTGTCTATAATTCTGAGATGAGGTATTAGGTACACTATCTACATTATTCGGACTATTGTCCTCATCTTTGTCGACATATTTATTACAGCGTTTCGGCCTTTCAGTATCTGTCTATATTTCTGAGATGAGGTATGATACACACTATTTACATTATTCAGACTATTGTCCTCGTCTTTGTCACCATATTTCTTACAACGTATAGGCCGTTGTACGCTCCGGCCTTCTTCGGGTGGTTGGAATGTCGAACTAAACCCTTTATTTCACTCGCTGGGGTAGACTGTTCTAGTTCCACGTGTCATGTTTAATGGATGTCAGTTATCAGTTATCTCCTGTTAATTCCCCTCTCCAAGTTCTCCACTGCCTCAACTGGGTATTGAACTCACACTCTTTGCGTCCTGTCACTGGATCTAACCAGCGCCTTTATTCACTGTGTAATATTTAATCTACTCTTGAGGACACATTGCATCACCGAGTGAACCTTAAATGTTCACCTATAACGATAAACAGATGTTCCCTCACAGAGAACCCCTTTTGAGCCCCCATTGGGACTTAATCTCAACCCAGACCCTAAGTGGATCGTGTAAGCTAAAGATGCTTGAAAAATGCTCAGTTCCCTGTACTACTTCAGTAACTCCTGCTTACCGCTACCTTTGCAATAGCTAGATCCGACCGAAACTGGAGTACTGCTCCTGGGTGTTAGCCAGTCTTCTTTTCCAGTATTGAAATGTTTCAAACTTCTCGCTACTCTATCGCTATTTCCACGAAAAGTGTTCAGACGAACTGCATTCGTTCGTTCTACTATTTCCAACCTTCACGGCTAAGCCCGGCCATTCCACGCACCTTGTAGTGAACCAGCCTCATTCCCCGCATATTCCATTGGTGAGTTATGAAGTCCACACAAGAAGCTTCTTTTCTAGAATCGCTGTTTTGTGGAACCAACTCCAAGGTGGACGCTTACCCTCTTCATCTGTAACGCTTTACCTCGTGTGGCTCTTGGGCATATACAGAGTGAACATTTTTTTATAAAAAATGCATAATTAAATTTACCTATTTATTTAACTAACATTAAAGCACGTTATATTAAAATCTCTTTTTGAAAGCCACTAGTTGTATAGATGAATACAGACTATAACAAAAGAACTTGGGCTTTGGATATTCCTTGTTTTCAAAACTTATGATTTATAAAAGTGTCTTATTTTGAGAGGAAGCATGCGCCGTAGAACCTTGTCTTTGGCAATCCGGTAGCATATCATAGCATCCAAAGACTGGGCTTCCATTCATGTCAAGTTTTTGGCGAATTAGTTAAAAGCGTTGTCATCGTTGATTATCTATCTATCTATCTATCTATCTATCTATCTATCTATCTATCTATCTATCTATCTCAGTCTGTTCATATCTATCTATCTTATTCTGTTCATATCTATCTATCTATCTATCTATCTATCTATCTATCTAAGTTTCATGCACGTAGATATGCGTGTATATCTTTCTTTCCGATATGCATATCAAATTTACCTAAGTTGAGGTGCGACCAACTTATTGCATTCTTTAAGAAAGAAAGAAAAAGGAAGGAGAGAAAGAAAGAAAAAAATGAAAGAAACGATGAGATTTATGAAAAGATAAAGAAAAAACAAAAAGGAAACAAAGAAAACGGGTAATAAGAAAGCAATAAAAAATAAAACTAAAAGAAGAAAAGTAAATTGAAAGAAGTGGAAAACGAAAGGAAGCCAATAAATATTTTCAGGAGAAAAACAAAAGAAAGAAAGAAAAACAAAAGCTTAGGAAAAAGAAAAGCGAATGTCATTGGGAAATGAAGATGAATAGAAAGAAAGAAAAAAGAATGGAAAAACGAAAAGGAAAGAAAGGAGAAAAACATACGAAGAAAGTCGAGAAAGAAAAAAAAAACGAAAATACGAACAAGATATAACAAAATAAAAAGTACGTGTAAATGAATGAATGAATGAGTCAAGAAATTCTTCAGTGCTGTGTGAGCGCTTGGTTTGGTGGGCGTCAAATTGAAATTGTTTTTCGTAAAATAAACGCTGTAAAGTATGAGCGTGTTGTACGCATGCGCATCTCTCATTCCAAACGATCAGGAAAGCGTTGGCATAAATAAATGAGTCACATCGACGAATGCAAGACGAAAGTTTTACCACTTCCGGAGCTTGTCAAAATAATAGAACTCACAATCGATAACCTAATTTGATTCAGGGGTCGAGTTTAGATGATTCCACGTAGAATTAACCTACCATAGAAAGGACATCGTGTAATTTATCAGTTAATTTTATGCCATTTTTTGAGGAAACTTCAATCTACATTGAAACATTTCTTGCTGGCATTACTGAGGGCTTCTTAAACTGTAATCGAGGACCAGGGTAAAACCGTTCTCATCAAAGAATCAACAGCCAGGTGTCCGTGACCAAAGCGAGCCTCCACGTAGGAGAACATTGGGTGTGGCTTTTAACCTGGAGAGGGATGATCCCCGCAAAGTTTACTTGTTCAAACCTCGCAATACGTGAAGGTTTACTTCTCAGGATTTCAGTACCGATATGTGAAGGGAACTGGTCATGTTCCAGGCTGCGGTAGTGACCCCCACGACCACATCCGGTCATGGGACTGATGATGATGATAATGATGATGATGATGATGATTACTGAATTCAAAGTCACAGTAAAATAAGAAATTTCACGTTGTTTCTTTCTATAATTTTTGATTCGAAATTACAGTTATCTCAATCTATCTATCTATCTATCTATCTATCTATCTATCTATCTATCTCTCTCTCTCTCTCTCTCTCTTTTATATATATATATATATATATATATATATATATATATATATCTTTCTTCATATGATTTTTCCGGCCAAAAATATACGGGATGGTGTAAGCTGCGCATCATCGCAAATAAAAGATGATGGCCAAAGATAAACATTAAAAATAATCACGACGGTCGTTCCCAGAGCCATATTTGATTTATTACTATTGGTCGCAGCATTAGTATTGAGTTTATCGAAAATTAGTTAAACAGTCCAAGCGAAGAACTATCCAAATCGTTACAGATTTGAAACAGCGTAGAGTATTTCCTGATATGCTTTATGAATCCTTATGCAGTCTTGTAACGAAAATACGAAGAACTCGGTAGAAACTAAATGTTAGATGATGGTTAGAGTAAGCTTGATAGAAAAAGATACATATGGAGAGCGAGTGATATATAGATAAAAGGATGATATGGTCTAAAACAGACACATAAACTCGCATGCGCACGCACAGGCACACACACGCATATACATATATAAAATTGGACACTGAAGTCAACACCAAGTGGCGACAATTTTCTCATACTGGAACACAATCTTAAAGTGTGATGATTGCGTTCAAACATGAAACAGACTGGTGCCGCTTTTACTGACCTCAATGTCCAATTTTATATATACTTATGCTCTATCTCTGATATTGAGCACTATTTCTGATCGAGCACTTTTATCCGTAAATATAGCATAACTTAAAACTATATCTTTATTTTATATATATATATATATATATATATATATATATATATATATACGATTACATCTAGCATGAAACAGTCTGTCGCCTCTGAGTCTTGACTTCAATATTCACTTTTATATTTATATGTATTTATCTATCTATCTATATATATATATATATATATATATATATATATATATATATATATATATTGATGTGTATTTTGGCAGCAACCTTTCTTTCATGCATTTTTCATTGAAAACAGAACACAAGGCAGAGTTAATTAATCTTTAATTGAGTTTTTCCAGCAATCTAACCTTTTTTCCGTTTTTCAGGAGTTAAAGAATATAGGAATTAACAATAGTTATAATTGCTCCTAGCGTTACTTCTCTAGCCTTTATCAAAGATGTGTTTTGAATGGGGTGTGGCTATGTGTGAATAGTAATTTTACAGTGTTGAGTTCGGTTGGTTTGTGTGCATCCATCTTGGCGATCACGTGCAATGCGCAGCCAGTTGACCGGGGCAATTATAACAATTATGGACAATTTCTATATTCTTTAATCCCTGAAAAATTTTAGATTGCTGGAAAAACAATAGAAGATTTATTAAATCTATCTTGTCAGCCGTTTTATATATATATATATATATATATATATATATATATATATATATATATATATATATATAGACAGAATAAATGTTAAAAGCTTAAAATATAATATATTATAATAATCTTAATATAATAATATCAAAATTCACTACTTAGAGTTTCATGTAATATTAATCTCCAGGGGGATATAACCTGGAACCAATAATTACCGTCTGAATTATATAATCCAATTTATATAATTCAAACTTTAGCTTTTGGGGCGGTGTTTCCTTTCGTCTTTCAATGATAATGTTATTAAGCTTATCAGACAATATGAAAGGAACTTACTTTAAATAAATAGACAAAACTTGTCTATATTATTTAATGAAACATGCATTAATAGTTTTGTTTTGTAATATCAAATATTGACCAAATAAATGCAATATATTTTAAAGAGAAAGAATTCTGAATATACGATTATCTTGAAAGATTCCTTTTTATTCAAACAATGAAAGATTTCAGAAGGTTGCCATTTTCACTCGGCAGCAGTGAAAACGGTTAAAACGGTTCCGCTTCTGAAATTCTCTCAACGTTTTATTTATTCAAGTTTCACCACGCAACATGCAACCCACGATTATCTGCCATTGGGTCAGGTCATCGGCAACTAAACAGATTTCCCCACCAGGCCTTTCTGGTGAAGCTGATGACTAGACACCCAGTAAAATTAAAACCAATACTTGTCAAAGGGCAGATGAAAGTCTTTTCGGGTCATCGGGCATTTAACACAATGGGTTAGAGAGTTCCATAGCTATGTACACAGCCAATACGGTGGCGAGGTGTCATCGTTGGGCGGAGGGCTCCCTAAATTGAAGTCAACGGCCAAGGCAGAGGGCTCCGCTGATGGAATCAACGGCCACGTGTCAGTGACCTATAGGCGTTGTAGGAAATCGGTTGGCCTTTGGAATGGGGAGAGATGGCCTGAACCAGATCAAGCTGCCCAAACCAAGACACGCTATGCATGAATAAGTACATCTCCGGCTTTCAACCCAATATGTGTAGGGTACTTGAGAAGTGCTCAGCAGCGCAGCAACCCTACGACCACACTAAATCATAGGACTGATGATGAAGTTGAGGCTTTCCATACATTTCTTTTGATAGACTACTGTTGGGAACCTGTCCAATATTAAGAAGTTGGATTTTTATTGGATGCCTCAGTATAGTGGTCTTATATCAGAATAACCTTGCTGGATCTCTACTTTCTAGAGTGATAATCAATAGACTTATGTCATGGTCATTTTTATTCGCAATTTGTATCCTCACAAGATCCCATTATGGGAGAGAGAGATAAATATCACCAGATAACAATGTACAGAGAACATGTCAATAGGAGATGGTGACGAAACAATGTCAAGTTATTGAAACCTTTTTATAAAAACAAAGAAGACTTTGATATTGTTGTAGCATACCTACGGACGATAATGGCTATGCCCCCATTCACATAAATACAGTAGTAAATATTTAACCTGGTCAATAGTTGGAGATTCGTCTCCATTATGGCTGGTCAATCTCTCTGACTCCGTGCAGAGAGGATCCCCAGACGAGGCTATGTCGAAAGGGCAGAGTCTCGTCTCGAGAAACAGCTACCCGACCCCATTTTATACGAAGTTTTTGGATACCTCACATTAAATTCGGCCTTGTGCCATATCTGACTGCATGGGGCGTTTGGTAGATATCCTGCAGTTGGAGAGTCATTGTAGAATTCACTTGATTCATTTCCAGCAGTTGAATACTACATCTACGCCCCGCTGGCGAATCTTTTATGCGTTGTTCTTGTCTGAAGTATTATCGTTCATTACCAACCTTCGTGTGAGTATTCTATTCAGTAACCTTCTTTAGGTTACAACAGATATTGATTTGAATACGTCTATCAATACAATCGTCTCCTTTTATATGCGGGGGATATGGTCCTACATTCCTAGTCGATGGCTGAAATAGCAGAGGATACCGAAATCGATAATTGTTACGTTTTACCTTGACAAACATAACTCTGATCATGTTTAATATATAAATTAGGCACAATGCGATATTAACAATAATTGATAATGAAAATGCAACGATTATAACAGTAGACTGTAATAAAAAATTATGTGAGGGAATATTAGCATCATGGTTAACACAAACCAATGGAATTGCATGCATTCAGAATCACCCCAAGTTGTTTTTTTGGTTCTATTCTTTTTCAGTGACTGCTCCCATTTTATGGATTGCTTTATTTTTATTCCAAAAAAGTCAAGAGATTTTCTCCTTTTCATTTAAAGATCGTATATTGCAGATTATCTTTCCGATATCCAAATTGCCAAATGCCAATATTTTTGTGCATGTGAACCATTATTAAGTAGAACTTAGAAATTGTTTATCTTGGGAGTTGACTGTGGGTTGACTGGCGAAGCTGCAAATAAATGCTAATGGTAATATTTGCCGTTTCTTTATCAAGAAACTTTCGGCATTCTTTGACAAAGCAACCAGAAAAATAAGCTTCTCTATTCTGTGTGTATTATCTCTCTTTCAAATAATGGTTGGGAATTCATTCCTTACCTTTTGCTTGAATTAATGTGGAATGCCAAAATCTTGATTATATCATTATTTTCTCTTTAAGTTACATTTGATATGCATTTTACTTGTAACTGCTATTGAAAGACCTTAACTGATGTGGTTTCTGTTATTTAGTACTGTTGTCTCTGATTCTGTTGCTCCAATACATGAGGTTCTTATAAGAATGATCCTCGCTAAGACCTTCATTAGATCGAAGCCATTTTAACCACTTATTTAAACAACTGACAGTTTAGATATTTCTGAATGAGCTTGGTGTCAAGCATGATATCCAGATGAAAATCTCGATCTTATTTAAGAAAATGACATGAGGTTTTACGTTAATGTTTTGGTTTTGCATCAAGATGAAGAGGTGAGCGAAACTACCCGTAGTGTAGCCTGTTTTATGTTCAATTGCCTTATCTCCTAGTCTGAATTTGTTATAACTGCTTGATACGCTGATGTAGTTGAATAAAGAAATATAGTAATTAAACAAAAATAGCGAGATTTCATCAACAGGTTTCTAAATAAAAACTTGATATTCAAGAAGAAATATTTGTGTATATGTGTTTCTGAGTCAGAATGCATGATTACACGTTAGTGCTTCAGCGCATTTGCTGTTAAAAGGGAAGAACATTGGCAAGTTCACTATCAATACAAATGTGCATTTTCTCTAAAATATACAAAAGACAATGCATAATTGTGTGGGATGGACACAAAGTTTACACAAGTGCCAAACAGGAAGATTACAGTTGATTTGAAAAAACAAACACAAGACCATATATATATATATATATATATATATATATATATATATATATATATATATATATATATATATATATATGTATGTATGTATGTATATATGTATGTATATAAACACATACAAACATACAAATGTTCATACAGATATTTTTGAATATATATATATATATATATATATATATATATATATATATATATTATATATATACGTATATATCTGTGTGTGTGTGTGTGATAAAATATAATTTTAAGGTTTGTTATATTTAAGGGTAAATTTGCTTAGTATGAGTCATAGAGCATGACTAAATCTTTTTAACACATTAATGCCATATTTAGGCCTAAAGAGTGTGCCAGGATGAGCAGACTGTCGCCACTTGGTGTTAAACCCAAGTGTATATATATATATATATATATATATATATATATATATATATATATATATATATATATGATTTATCCCTGATACTGTTCAATTTTAACAATATATATATATATATATATATATATATATATATATATATATATATGTATCGTAACTAAAAATATATTTTTATCATGTATTTTTAAGCATTTCACCCCAAGGCAAAGCAGAAATTTTACTAGAACAAAGGGTGTTACAGAGAGTGAAAGTGAGAGAAAAGCCTGGATGTAGGGTGGGGGTGATTAAGGAATGTATAAGGGGACAACGGGGATCAAGGCAACAGAAGATGGCGATTGACGTTGCATTTCAGTTTTTGAAGATTGTAGTTGTCAAGATAGCAAGTATGATGAAAAATGTCGGAAAGGGTGAGAAAATAAACTGCTGGAGTAGAAGTGGCGGTTATATTTAACCATTTCAAGAGTGAAAAGGTAGGCCTGGATGCTAATCTGCTAGTACGCTTAAATGCATGTAGTCGAGGCATCATAACAGTAGCCATGATAATATTGGTAGAAAAAACAGAGGGAAGAGAATGTGACTGAAGTCGAGATGTTAAGTCAAAACCGATTATATTGCAGATCCTTTTATGGATTTTATCGAGAAGAGGAACAGCAGGGGCATCAGACCAGATATGGCAACAATATTCAATGCACGGACGAATGTCAGATTTGTAGATGTGTAAAATGGACTCTGTTTATAAAAACAAAACTTTCTGGCACGACACAGTGAACAAACTTCCTTGCAGTAGATGAATCTATTGATTCAGTCCAGTTGTTCTACCTCAAGTCATTAGAAAACGTGAGGCTAATGAGGCGCAGTGAAACACTCTCACGGAGTCGAGCATCAACCATGCTGATAGGTGGCAGGTAAGTTTCTCTGTGGCGGTTAAATGAGAGCAGTTTAATTTTGGAGACATTAAAATTTACAAGCCATTTACTACCCTAGTTAACCACTGATTCGAGATTATTTGCAAGAATATATATATATATATATATATATATATATATATATATATATATATATATATATATATATACTAGAAGCATGGCCTAGCGTTGCCCGTGCTTGATTCAAAAATCGTACGACTCATACAGCAATCGCTATCACTTGACTTAAAATATTTTTGCCCTTCCTTGCCTTTAAAGGAGTGCCCTTTGCCGTGCTGATGTTGCTACATGCCTTACTTCTTGCCTATCTCACACTATGAATTTTTCCTAAGCTCTATACTAAACATTAAATCTGTTACAAAAACAGAACTAAACAAAATGAACACAAAACAATCAGCTTTAAAAAAGGACTCGTAACTGGAAAAACCGAATGAAAAAAGAATGTTAACAACAAATACTTTTTTACACCCAACCAAGTTTTGCGGAATCAGAATCAACGTTGAGTTTAAGCAAGTGAATGAGCCAATTGGAGTAAAGTGCCATGCAGATTTAAATTTTTCCCACTTGTAACGAATGCAGCTATCGATTTTTTTTTGCATGCTAGTTAATATTCGTGTCAGTCAGCTGGCCAATAGAATCTTGCTGCCTATTTGTGGCAGTCAGCTATAGGTTCTCACTCTGGCCAGTAGAAAATGGCCGCAAACTACATAAAAACTGCTGTAGAAGGATGAAAAAATCGATTATTTCCACTATCGATGGGAGTTGGGAAATGCAAAGTCGGTTTTGGCCATCCCGCTAACTTTGAGCACGTGCATGTAAATTTTGGTGCTAATCCGTCGAAAATTGCGACCGTGCATTCGTTACCCCCCCACACACACACATATATATATATATATATATATATATATATATATATATATATATATATATATATATATATATATATATATATCTATATATATATATATATATATATATATATATATATATATATATATATATATATATATATATATATATTTGTAAAATTTGGTCTGAGAGGTGTATGTATGCATATGAACTCATGAGTGTGCGTAAGTGTCTGATTTGGGATTAAATATGGATCCATATCTCATTCACTGATGAAGCTTTAATAAAGATGAAACATGTTAGACTTACAAACATTTTCTGTTTTTTTCTTATTCTATCTATCTATCTATCTATCTATCTATCTTTATATAAATATATAATTACAAACAATATATATATATATATATATATATATATATATATATATATATATATATATATATATATATTGTTTGGAATTATATCCATATATTGTTTTGAATTACATCTACCGGCCTGTGCAGCCTTAATAAAGAAAATCTGCACCCACCCCCCACTAGCAGGGTACGAAGCTACATTCCTCTTCAGAAGAGAAACGACAGTCTTATCCATCAAGCTTTAGACTGTAAATAATGATAATTTCACATCCCAGTAATTCAGAAAGAAATTAATGAAATATTTAATTAAAGTACAAGAAACAAGTAAGTTTTTATCTGAAGTTGGAGTTTACCAAATAGAATATAAACAAATATAAATAGAATATAAACGAACATAAATAGTATATAAACAAATATAAATAGAATATAAACAAATATAAATAGAATACAAATCGAACATAAATAGAATATAAACAAATATAAATAAAATATAAAAATACAAATAGAATATAAACGAACATAAATAGAATATAAACAAATATAAATAGAATATAAACTAATACAAATAGAATATAAACGAACATAAATATAATATAAACAAATATAAATAGAATATAAATAGAATATAAACAATTATAAATAGAATATAAACAATTATAAATAGAATATAAACAAATATAAGTAGAATATAAACAAACATAAATAGAATATAAACAAATATAAATAAAATATAAACAAAAGCCCCAAAATACGTCGGTGAGACATCCCAAAATTTCAAAACAAGTATATGTAAATGAACTGTAAATGTAGATTTTCTTTTCATGAAAGCAAATCTAATCATGCTGACACATATATATATATGCATATATATGTGTGCGCGTGTGTGTCTGTGTGTGCACGCAAAAACTGGGATATAAATGAATATATTTGCAAAGGTTTTCCTCCCGTAATTTCTTTTTATCTAGCTATCTACCTCGCTATCTGTTTCGGTCTATATCTATCTATCTATCTATCTATCTATCTATCTATCTATCTATCTATCTGCAAGGACATTTTGGTTACTTTGTATTTATATGATAAATATCCTCTTCAATTTTAGCATAAAATATATGTTTTTATTTAAAATATTAGCAATACGAAACCTTTAATGTTACTTCTTATACTATAAATAAGCATTTCTAATATTGCTTTTTTAATTATTATTTTAGATAGATGTAACTTACTTTGAGTCGCAAGAAGGATACTTTAAAGTTATTGCACGAAAACAGCACAACGTTGCAGATCACAGAAGAAATAAAAAGAGAAATTGAAAAAGTTGATAAAACAAAAGAAAGAAATCCTAACAAATATATTACGAAAGAGTATTTCAGAAAAATAAAAAGGATAAGTAAAAAGTGGGTCGTCTAACAAAATGAAATTCTGAATTGTGTAGATAATCAAAGGGATATGAAGGAGAATATTAAAAAAAAACATTAGCTTTAGGCATTAAAGCAATTAATTTTTTTAATATCATTTCACCCAACGAAAGACAATAAAGCCACTAAGACGTAATTGGTTACACAATGTTAGAGAAAAATACTATTAAGTAAAGAGGACAATAAAAGTACAAGAGTTAAGAAAACGAATACAACGATTAACATTGCATTTCAATTTTTGAAGATCAAACTTGCCTGGGAAGAAAGAATCCGGAAGAGAGTTCCACAAGCAAGAAGTGCGATAGAAGAAACTGTTAACAAAGAACCTACATCTAGCTATTTCAAGTGTAAAATGGTGAGATTTTGCTGCCAATATAATACTGCACTTAATTTCATAAAGTCTAGGTACCATAGAGGAAATTTCATCTGAACAGTTACTATGAATATTTTTTAAAGAAAAGGATCATATAAGCTACAATATGGCAATGAGAAAGTGACTGAAGATGAGATGCCAGGTCAGGACCAATAACACTGCACATTCTTTTTAGATCTTATCAAGAATCTCCAAATATATAGCAGGAACACCAACCCAGATGTGGCAGCAATATTCAAAACAAGGACGAATAGTAGATTTATAAATATTTAAAATAGATTCTGAGGGCAACAATTGTCTAGCACAACACATTTAACCAACTTTCATAGCTTCAGACTTAACAATTGATTCAATATACTCTTTCCACTTTCATATATTCTTTCCACTTCATGTCAGCGGATAAAATGTTAGATTAGCCTCTTTAAGTAAATATCACAGAGAGAAATGTATAACAATTTCTCAACGGTAATTTTGATAAATATAAATTTACATTCACCGAATCTCATGCCTGGGTTAGAAATTGGGTTCATCAATTAAATACTCGTTATGACTTAGAAGAAAACGGAGAAATCTGGAGGCTAGCATTGCTGGCAGTAAAATTATACATATATTCATAACTGATGATAGTCAGGAGAGAATTCTTGTAAAGAAATGTTCGAAAGCGAGAAGGTTTAAGTTAAAGAATATCCATGAAATACAATCGTCATTCATATTCGAAACAAAAAAAGCTTAACAAAATGAATGAACGAATGTAGTTTCTAGAATGACACGTAACCCATTTTAACATATTATTTAAGCTATATATAATAATGGATTAAATAAATTATTGGATGTTTTTATCCGACATTAGTTCTAATTACTGCAAACGTTTTTAGTGAGCTGACAAGCTTTTTTTTCTTAACCCTAGAACATAAACCCTGGGTATATAGTACCCAGCGCAAATTTCCCTATTTTTAATTACAATTTTCAGTACCTGATTTTCTTACCTAAATATCTTACAGTTTTTACTTGAAACGCAGAGTATATATACATATATATATATATATATATATGAAGAAATATAATCTTAAGGCGTGCTATATTTATGGGATAAATTTTGTATTTCATCAGAAAACAAGAATTTCTTCTTTGGTTCGATAAATTCATAGACGATGTTTTCTAGATCTCCAAGTTGTTTGATGCTGCTAGCATGACAAGCTGTGTTTCATGAAGTATTTAGAATAGGACAAATCCGGAAAATACATTTGAAGAATTTCCTACCCTATTCATCGCATGAAAATGTTACTTGTGCTGCTATAACGAGGATAAATCACAAAATCCTTAACCCTAGAACACTAACCATGGGTATACAGTACACAGCGCAATTTTTCCTATTTTTAATTACAATTTTAAGTACCTGATTTTCTTACCTAATTATAAAATTTTCAGTTCCTATTAATTTCAACTCAATGTATAAAGTTTGAAGTGTCTGCATGTAAAATCTTTCAAATAAAGATTTATATTTAATATTTTTTTGATATTTTCAAAATCGGGTATGATATACCTATGGTTAGTAGTGGTGTAACTTTAATTGATGGTTAGGGTTCTAGAGTTAAACACTGAAATTACTGTCAGCCAGCCGAGATCGAAAATACCTACGAATGAAAAATTACAAGATCGCTTGATATTAATGTATATTAATATAATAGTAATATCAACTCAAATACAAGTATCCACTAAAAATGGCATTTTAGTAATAAGAACTATTTTTGGTCCATATATTGTGATTTATTAATAAAAAAAATATATGGCATATATAAAACCTGACACTTCAAACTATTTATTATCAATATTTTCACAATGATAGCGAAGCTCACACGATATCTACTATCTATATTTCTCATGTTGTCTGTCTGTGTTTCTGTCGTGGGCGTTGTTACCTCGCCCAGGCAGCATTTCTAACCCGATTTCGATGCGGTTTTCAACACAAGTTTGTAAATGGCTGCCGTAAGGACATGACGGCGCCCGATTTTTGAGTTCGGAATCAGGTTCCGAAAAAATCGTTAATCGAAAAAATTCTGCTTACAGAAGGAATGATCGCATTTCAACCAAATTTGACACCCTCTTAGAGTCTAACATTAGAAGTGTTGTCCAGAAGTTTCATGACCACGGGCCCCTAAACAGCGCGGAAAATCAATAAAACCCAAAAGCCGATACGCCCAGATTGCGTCTGAACCGCATGTTGGTTTTTAGCGAAAACCGAGCTGATTTATGAAGCGGATTTTTATCAGAGCGCCCCCCAAACAGAGTGCAAATCGACAATCGGTCAACCCTTAAAAATGTTTTTTTTCCGGTTTTTTAAAGCTGATCATATTGTGTTTATTTTGTTTAGTTCTTTTTTTGTAACAGATTTAATGTTTACTATAGAGCTTAGAAAAAGTTGGCAGTGTGATATAGGCAAGAAGTAAGGCATGTAACAACATCAGCACGGCAAAGGGCACTCCTCTAAAGGCAAGGAAGGGCAAAAATATTTTAAGTCAAGTGATAGCGATTGCTGTATGGTGCGTACGATTTTTGAATCAAGCACGGGCAACGCCGGGCCATGCTGCTAATATAACTAAAATTCTGCTGTTGCTTTGAAAATCTCGAAAGCATTCGACAGGGTTCAGTATACCGGTCTTCTTCACAGGTTGAATGTTTGTGGTATTTCTGCACGTATTTTTGAACTGATTGAGTCATTCTAATCAATGAATGAATGTTGTTCAGGACGGCCACTCTTCTAGATCATTTTGTACTAATGCAGGTTTTCCTTAGGGCCTTATCCTTGGACCTACTTTGCTCTTAATTTTCATTTAATAACTATCCTGATGGTTTCAACTTGGTATCTATGCAGATGACACAACTATTTACTCCTGCCTCAGTAGTGTTGTTTGACTTTACTAAAAAAAAAAAAAAAAAAAAAAAATAACGCCGCTAGGGGACGTCGCTCCTTAAGTCTATAAAGAGGAAATTATATTCTCACCCAAGCTTTTACGTCTTTTTTTTTTCTCTTAGACAATAAGATGTAGTCGCACGTGGGAAAAAGTCTCCTTCACTGGAGCACGTTCATTTTACTTTCAATTACTTTTTTCTCGGACTTCTCTCCTACACAAATTTCATACACAAAAACACACTTCCTAGTTTAAATGTTTCCTTCTTTTATTGTCATTATATACTTTTGTTAATACATACATTGACGTTTGGTTTACGGTTTTCTGTTAACTATTTATTACTTGGACTCATATTCGAGTCCGCAACGATTTTTACGGGAAAAATATACCAGGAGTCACGCGTTTTCTACGTAAACATTCATGCAACAATAGTATGTTTGATTAGTTCAATAACGTCAAATTAGCAGTTGATCTAAAATAAGCTACAATTTGGTGCTAACCGAGGCAAGGAATGGCATGTTGATTTTAACGCCCCTTAAACGAAACTTCTCTCTATTAATCATCTGAGAGACTCCTTTCTGATGATATTGCACCCATTTCTAGTTCTGCTGCTAGGAAAGTTGGTTCACTGTCATGCTAGACAATTTTTTCCCGACAGAATCTATCTCATACATTTATAAGTCTTCCATTCATCTATGCCTTGAATACTACTGCCACATCTGGTTTGATGCTTCTGCTATGTATTTAGAAGAATCTGCAATGTTATTGGTCCTGACTTGGGATCTTGTCTTCTGTACTTTCCTGTCGCCATAAATTAGCTTCTCTCGGAAAAGTCTAAGTAAATTATGGAGGATGTTTAATAATAAACAAAAGTGAGTTAATGTTGTTGCTTCTGCTATATATTTAGAGATTCTTGATAAAATCCAAAGAAGAATCTGCAATATTATTGGTCTTGACCTAGCATCTCGTGCATAATGTAGCTTCCCTGTACCTTTTCTATAAAGCCATTCATGGCAATTACTCAAATGTGCTTTCTTCTATGGTACCTAGATTTTATGACTAAGCGCAGAATTAGATTGACTGTGGAATTGGCTAGATATAACCATAAGTTCTATGCTAACAGTTTATTTTCTCGCACTTCTCACCTGTGCAATCTCTTCCGGCTACACGCTTTCCAGCCACCTTTGATTTCCAAAAATTTAAATGCAATGTCAATTGTTATCTATCGGTTTGTGTAAAATAAGTTTAGCCATCGTTTACATAGTAATGGCCTTATCTGCTGCATTCACTTTCGCAATAATTCCCTCGGGTAATGTATGAATCCATATCCCGTCGCCATCTATAGGGAAAAGAACATCTTAGATTGGAATTTCTACCCTTGGGTGTCAAAAAGTCCAGGGTG